CAGTAAGACAGATTTGGATGAAATTTATGAAAAAATATTGACGCAAATTCATTAATCTTTAAGTTTATCCATTTAGTCATATTACATGCCACAATGGACGCGGGTTATCGGAAATCATTATGTTTCCAAGATACCTAAATAAATAATATCTAGTGATTGGTAATAAAAGGAATAGGTGAAAAATGAATATAAAAATTAACAACTCATTGTGTACATATATAACAGTTTTATAAATTAAAATATTGTTAAATAATAGTTATTCTTGTAGCAATATGGCATTGGTATGAATGACAAATTATCAGAAATTTATAAAGCTATATTATTCCGTAGTAATTGAAGCATTAGTTTGGTCGCAAAAATATTGCTTCCTTGTGCATATGACAATACGATTTAATATTACATATTATATACATGCATAAATAGATGTATATGAAAATGTATTGCTATATTTTCTCTACTAAGAAAATTATGAGTAGGGTATAAAATTTGCTATACCAGTTCCTTACATATAACAACATAATTAATATGAACCGCCACCCAATAATATACGTTTTTGAAACAAGGATTATTGTAACCGAAATCTCGATTTTTATCAGATATAGGGTCGATAAAAAATATGATGACTATCTGAATAAAATTTTGAATATCTTATCTAATTTTAAATTCTAAAACAACACTTGAATATGTTTCTTCTGGAAGTCATAAGACACAGCTATGTATCATAAATAAAAAAATATATATTTAACGGGTAGTAGTAACGATAGTCAACATATGAAAACTAGAAAAATATTTTATGAATTTATCTTTGCATGCCGTTATTGGGAATAAGACAACAGTACGTATGGATATATTAAACATTCCTACTAATATAATAAATGCGGCGATCTCAGCTATTTGTAACCTTTTACGAAACGTTCACAAATAAACGGGTGATCTTAATGAAATTTGACATGAAAATAGATTGCCTCAAGAAATTTCCGGAAAGTATACGAATAGGTTACTGTTATTAAAAGTAATCGAGAAACAGGTATCTCATAAAAACCTAAGCGAAACGCAGCATTTTTATTTAATATATCTATTTAATTTCATGCCTTTCATAACTTAAGCCATTTATGTGGCTCAAGTTTTAATTTCTGAATAGAAAAAAGAATCATAAAAGATTCAAAATGGCAAACCGAGAAAAAAATATAAATCGCTAAATTCCTTTTTACTTTTACAATTAAAAATGGAATTGCATGTACAAACAAAAAAAATCTCCATTATATATTTTAGCTCAAGAAATTGTTAGTTATTAGTTTAGAGTATATTTATTATCAATTGTGCATAATAAGGCACCATCCATAAATTACGTCACTAGAATTTCACGATTCATTAACTCCTGCCATGACATTGTCACAGCTGGTCAATGTAAGACTCCCCTCTAGTATGACGACACATATATACTGATAAACCAGGTTCCAGTGTAATATGAGGCGACTACATTTTTAGTAGTGTAAACTGGCCGAAATAATTTAAACGTTATGTTTATATAGATACGGAAATATATTGGGGGTTTCTTTAATAGGTAGTTCAATTAATATTTTAATACTTATGATATAGGTGTATATATATATATATATATATAATTTTACAACGTGACGTCACTACATCTTAGATAGCTCCCGCCCCTTGTTACACTGACGATCTCCTTCCCCCTCAATGAGTAATGTAATTTATGAATGACCCGTAAAAGCTACTTAGTCTTGTACTAGATGCCCTAGTCGTATAATCTTGTCCTTCTAATTGTTAGAAAATATATGTATATTAATACGGTAGGCCTGCGAGATACCTCTAGCTGTTTCTGGGTTAGTTATGCTAACTTTAATATTGATCCCACTTAGTAGTCAGTATAGCAATTCATATATGTGTCACATAAATATAAGGTATACTTTGATGTAGAATACAATGTTTTAGGTAGTGTGATAATTGCTATCAATACGATAACAAAATAATTCTTTATCTTTTATACGTCTTTCACAAGAAAAAATAGAAAATTATGAGGTTATATGAGTGTTCGATAGTATTTTATAAACCACTACGATTTGTTAGCCAATATTCTACTACACAAACTGATCAAACTCTTAATCGAACTACATGCGAGTCGATTCTGAAGCGCCATGTAGTACTTATTAACATTGTAATAAGACTCATGAAATGAAAACAAACAGACTTTCATACAGATCTTTACAGTAGTGTAAACTACTGTTATTAATTATAGAGGTTTAGATAATTAGTGTATATTAGTATTTCTTACCTAATATATTTTACAAATGACTTCTATATCTTTAAATCTAACTTCTAAAAAACTAAGCATTAAAAGGACTTAAGTTCACGATTCGGTCATGGGTAATGTCCCTTACCATCACATACTACCGGCATTCTACGGTGCAGAGAATATAGAACATACAGTCTATGTTATTCGTTAATTCTATACGTGACTTTTCAAAATCGGATAAGTATTTTTCAGTTTTTCGTAATAGACAAAATGTATAATGTATGTAAATATTTTTAATTAAACCGCACGTTTTTAATCTGAACAATTGCTACTGCTTATAAGACACCAGAATAACAAAGACCGTATTCGAGCATGTCATGGCAATAAATTTTGTATATAGACAAAATGTATAATGTATGTAAATATTTTTAATTAAACATTTTTAATCTAAATAGTAACAAAGACCGTATTCGAGCATGTCATGGCAATAAATTTTGTATATAGAAGTATTCATATAAATAGTGCACAGTATCTAAAGGTATGATCACAGCATTATTATTAGGAACTTCTTTTTTTAAAAGTTTCCAGTTTTAACAAAATCTTTTAAATTGTGAACATGCAACAACTATTGGATAGATTCAATATTTATACTGCAATACTTAGCATATTTAGTAAATAATTTTGGAAATTACACAAAACGACAGTTATTTGCAACTTTGACCTGTGGAAGAATTTAGTTCTCAGTTTCTAAACTGTTAGAGAATTTTATTTAATTGCTATGCTTACACACGTGTGAAATTGTAGTGCATAATTTATATATATTTATACCCATGTCTAGGCTTCGATCCACGTAAATAACCGAGTCTTTCTAAGCGACTTCATATATTAGAGGGATCAAGTTCATTGACAAATTTTAAAACAGTACGCCATTGGGTTCATTGAATTATTCATTACATATTTTCTACAAATTTCATTAGGAATAACAACGAATTACTGATTTACAAAAAAATTGTAACAAGAATAGTAATTAATTTAAACTTATTTAACCTTTCAATTTTAGCGAATCAAAATTTAATGTAAATCATTCTTGATTCTAATAAGATTTAAAGAGCAAAATCATTTACTAAATATGCAATACGGCTGTCTGTACAAATACGTTCCAATCGCAATGCTACGAAACTTGCAGCCGAAAATCTTTTACGTTCAAAATAATTCTCGTTTTTACTTTCGCGTGATCAGTGTCTGGGTGCAATTGGGAAAGAATAATACTTACCATGCTTATTTCTGTCTTGAAGCAGGAATTCTGGATTATTATAGTCAAGATAATCAGACAGTGCTACTTCTGATATGCAAAATTCACAATAACTGTGGTGTGCCATGCATGGTCTGGACCGTACAGAATATTGCGTGATCAATCCTAAATTACATCGCACACAGAAGTACTCGTAATTGCATATACACAAACACAAAGGTGACGAGCTTGGTAATTCAGTTTTCTATAAATTATTTGTTCCAAATAATGAAGTATGATCAAACCATAAGACACATTCCTAGCACGTACCTGACAGTAAGGGAATTTAATTTGAACTGGCAGACCGATATGATAAAGAATAATGTATTGTCGTATTTAGAAGTATCACACTAGTTACCCTTTACCCTTAGTTTTCTTGATATGGTACAAATAATGCGAGTCGAACCTTTATAGTAGAACTTGAAAATTTATACTTAATTATGTTCTGGTCGCGAAATACAAAATATTTAGTTACAAGTATGTAACTAAGTTGGTTTAGCTATATTCATTAAAGCATTTATATAAACCATTCTATTAAGCTTTTCATTTAGACGGTTCTGTTGGAATGATTTGATTGAATTTTTTTAATTTCGCAACTAGCACTACTTAATATTATGGGTCACGGAGAAAATTACTGACTAAATCTAGATAGCATATTTTTGGATAAGTTACTGTGCGATTTCAAATAATTAAGCATTGTTTTATTTTATCAACATACATGTCACTTAAAGACCTTCATGGACACATAAACTATGTCTAATTGTTAAGCCTATAATAATTATTTATTGATTCATATTAGGCCTAAATGTATATTATTATTTACATACACGTCTGGACAGTTCTCTATTTTAATTTTTTACCGTTTGGAGTGAGAAAGCTACACAATATTATTATTGGAATTCTTGAAATCGAAACTAGTTAAGATAAGAACTCATGTTTTCATTTTATAAATAAAAATGCAGTTACCATATATATATAAATGAGCACCTAGAGAAGATATATTTTCTCCTATGGCAACAATTATTGTGATTATTGTAAGGCTTTATATTTTTTACTTCGGATCTCCCGTCATGAATGACGAAGGTCCACATCTGGAGCGCCGGTAGATTCCAACAGCCCTGTTGTGAGTGTGCGTCCTTAGATGAATCCGCAGAAGGTGCGCCAGTACTGTCATCACCTCATGCTTCAGTCTTTGAACAGATTCAGGTCAGTATTGAACGAAAGATTTGTATTGAATGTATTCAGCATTTATTTGCAAGAAATACTTTACAGGTGATAGACACTTTTGAACCGTTATGTTATACATTTTAGACTTACCAAAATTGAAATTGCAACGTAAACTATAGCTTTAACTGGATGCCATAGAATACAGAAAGGCACAACTGGCATAGATACCTGTAAAAATTAAATATATTAATAAAAAATCAAGCACAAATCTGATTAAATTATACTTACGTTTTGGTTTAGGAGGTATTAGTTTTATAGAACCAGGTTTCGATTCAATTGTTTCGACAGTCTTAGGCTTCTTTTCTGGTGGATTTTCATTATGTACAGGTGATGGTCTTTTAGGTATTTGTATTGTGGGTGGTAGAACAGGTGTGACCTTTTTATTTAATAGGGCTGCGCGTGATGGAGGAGGTTTAACCTCTTCTTCCAATCCATGTCTCCTAAATTTGGAATGAAAAGTTTTTACTGTTTTAGGTTTAGGGTCATCTGGTTTTCTAACTTCAATTGATATTGATGGTTTTTCCTTTTTTACATCACTCAATTTTGGTATTTTTCCTAATTTTTGTATAGATGGAGATAAAGGTTTGTCTTCAGTCTTTTCCGTAGATAATTTTGGTACCTCTTTTTCCTTTTCAAGTTTCACCTTGTTTATATCGCTATTGAGTACTATTTTACCGTTCTTGTCATCTTTAGACTTAACAGAAGAACTAGATTTATCATTAGTTTTCTTACCAATACTATCACTTTTAGATTTCGAACTATGAGAGGAATTTTTATGTTTGTCTTTTTCCTTGTCCTTCGATCTATCTTTACTACTATGCCTGCTTGAACTACTGCTTTTATGATTACTACTACTCTTATGTTTATCACTCGACGATGAACGCGATTTACTAGAATGTTTTGATGAATTAGATTTAGAACTACTGCTGCTGCTTCTGCTAGAAGATCTTTCTTTACTTCTAGTTTTACTTTTGTCTTTTGATTTTTCTGTATCGGAGGATCCATCAGATAGTCTACTCCCAGCATCATCCACCTGTGATATAACTTGCTTGCCTTCTTTTAAAGAAATCTTTAAAACGGGTAAATTTTGATCTTCCGCTTCTTCGTCTTTATTTTTAATATCTTTCTCTCTTTTAATTGCATTAGTATTCGTGGTTACATCAGATTTGGCAGCTATAAGTATTTCATTATCTGCTGGAAGTACGGTATTTTCAGCGTCGGATATAGCTTTAATCTTAATTTCGGAATTATCCTCATTTTTTATAGAAACAGAGTTATTTGCAAATTCCGATTCAGATATAATTTTAGCAATGTCGGACAGTAAAATAGGTTCTACTTGTTCTCCCTTCACAGTTTTGAGCCACTGTTCAACCAATTTAGAAGCGAGGGCTCTAATAGCTAAAACGGAAATAATTATTCAAATTATATAGTATTATGAAAAACCAAGACGTGGGCGAAACTAATTTGAATGATATATTTTGTAGCAAATAATATATAACATATTAATAGACAAAAGTATGTTGAGCTATTAGTAAAATACATGGTATGGAGGCCTGACACTTTAAGTCATACTGATGACGATGTCGTTGATGCTGCATATTGTATAGATATAGGCGGCGGTTACCACCTATCATCACGTGGGCCAATGCCAATAGCCTATTCAACATTCCAGTCAAATATAAATAAATATTATTGAGATAAAACAGCTAAAGCTAGAAATATATCAAAACAGTCGTAACAAATTAAAGTTAACATAACGACTTCTATAATAATGTTTTCCTCTTCTGTTTGTTCTTATATTCAAAGAAAATTTAATTTGGTATTAACATTGTATTGTGTACATTGTAATAAAACATATATATAATTGAAACATAACTTACCAAAATGATTACCATCCTTTGACAACTCCTTTACTAGTTTTGGGCAATTATTAGTTTTCAACCGCTCTATGTCTACTGGGCATAATAATAACAGTTCCAGTAATTCTCTAACAAGTGGCCAATTTTTAGCTACTATGCCTTCGGTTAACCACATGTGTACTAACAGCCAACCACCAGAGCCCATGAACATACGTAGTATTTCAATATCAGTACATTTTAAAATTTGTATGTATATACATTTTGATACCAACTTCTTAGAGAATTTGGTCATCAAGCTGTAAAAAAAAATACATAAAATATAAGTAATTTTTGAAAACAAGTTACCTTTCCAGTACGGCGAATGTCCGCTGCATTGTAGTAAAATGTTCTAGCCTCTACAATGCAGTGGATGTTCGTTTAGTAGTAATACAAAACATTTAAATAGTAGTTATATATTGCGGAAAATGTTATAATAATATATGATGAGTATTATCCAAAGTGGGGGTAGTTACAGGCAATTTAACTGTCGACGTATGGTAAATCTAACACTTGGTATATCCACATTTCACTTTCACTATATATATTCGAATTTAACGTGAAGGAGTGAGTCTACCGCTTTTCTCTCCAATTGATTTGGTTTGTTATCGGTGTTTAAATCAGGCATTTCGATCATAAAACAGTTATTTGGTGTTAGTTGAATTGCGCAAATGCGCAAACTTCATTCTATATTGCCCATACCCTCTTCTTATTTGCATACCACTGAATACTCTATTATTCACTTCAAGATGTTGATGTAATGTCATTGAAAAATAGTCACAACAATACCTAATTAGAAATTAAGAGAATGAATATAAAATAATTTAAACAATTAACATTATTATGGTTACATTGAAATCTTACTTTGCTAGTCTCTCAACTTCACCTCTGCTTTTGATTCCACCAGTGGGTGAAAGAAGTATACTGAGGCATTCCAGCAATTTAATTGGATCAATGCGTGGCTGAAACAAAAAAAAAAGGAAAGTTAATGTTTTGTAATTATATATTTATTTATATATGATGAGATCACAAACATCACCATCATTGAACATTTTAATACTAACTTTCAGCTGCAATCTCACTACTTTTGAGTCTATAAATTTTAAAATAAACCGTCGACCTGCGGCACTTTTATTATTATGACAAACAGATTTAAATGAATGAATATTTTTAATTGTGATGTAAATATAGTAACTTTATTCATAATATTACCAATCGATAGGTAAAAGGTTAGTTTATATGGGGGTCTATATAATATAAAATTATTTTTTTATTATTTATATTTCTAACAGAACAAATAATTTGGTCTGTTAGGAATATCTTAATAATATTATAAAACTAACTAGCTGTTTCGGCAAACGTTGTTTTGCCATATAAATTTAAGTACTAAAATCGCTATTAAAAAATAGGGACTGGTGGTAGGATGAAAATTTAGGGTTGTATGTATTATTAAATACCACTTTATAAAAAAATGTTAGGGTCAACCCTTATCACTTAAGGGTATGAAAAATAGATTGTTGCCGATTCTCAGACCTACTGAATATGTATATAAAATTTTATAAATATCGCTCAAGTCGTTATCTCGTTTCGTTTCGGAGGAGTATGGTAACTAACATTGTGACACGATATACATATAAGATATTATAAACGCGAAAGTTTGTAGGTATGGATATTTGATACTCTTTCACGCAAACACTTCAGAACGGATTTTGATGAAACTTTACAGTAATATAGCTTTTATTAAAATTTAATGAAAGTGAAACCGCGAGCACAGCTACGAAATAATAATTAAATGTGAGTAAAATTGATATTTTTTCTTTTGAACCGATGTTGCTGTACTGACACTCCTGTTGTTAATGCCAATGTACCAGTATGTTTTCTTTCTCCGTTCCCCGCTATTGGTAGTCACAACATAATACATACACATATAATAGATAAATAAATAATAACTTTACTAAATAATAATACCTTTCATTTACACTGAGTGGTACAAAATTTATGATAATTCCTTACATAGTCTCTAACAAATAAGTAAATAGGTTATTATTTTTTATTACATATATATTATTTATATAAATTGATAAATATTCAAGAAATAAACTCGACACATTAATGGTATTAGGACTTTTTGGTTTAAGTAATTGAATGTAGTCTATTTGTGTAGGATATCTAAGTGTCTTTAATTTTTTCTGTAAATTCATGTATGTTTTTATCAATAAAAATAAAAAAATATACTAGTATATATAAACGCCTTCTATATATATTAACCCACTTCAACTGATAGGACCGGACCGTTTAAATTATTATTAAATATGGCCTTGTAATAGACGAACGGAATGTAAAATCTCTGTTTGCCCTATGGTTGACTGAGAGAAAATGGCTTATGTACTGATACACAAGCCATTTTCTCTAAGGTTTCTACATTGAGGATACAATATCGGAGAAAATTTAATATATTTTATAACGAAAATTTAAATCAGGCAATCAATAAATGGAGAATAATTTGTTTTATTCTATTAAGGTAGTATTAGTAATTGTTAATTAAATAAGCGCCGCGACGGTTTTGTATTATCTGTACTAATTTTTAGTAATATTACAAATGCGAAAGATGCTCTGTGTGTCCGTCTTCCTTTCACGCCAAAACTGCTGGACCAATTTAAATGAAATTTGATACATAAAGTCTAGACAACGAGAAAGTACATACAGACTACTTTTTAATGCGATAAAACTGTTGTAAGGGGTTAAAATAAAATAGAGATTTAAAGTTTGTATAGAAAATAGTCGTATATGCTATGAAAACTTTGTTTTTTTTTTTATTAAATTGTTAAATATTTTTCATTAATTGGTCAAAGTTACTATAACACAAAGGCGCGGGCACTGCTTAGTTACATATTTTACAGACAGTGCATAATTTTTTAATGAATTTACGATGCACTCCAACTGACGGGGCATGGTCGTATTTCTAAACGCCGTCGAGAGGTTCTTATTTTTCTACTGGTGAAACTGGGGCCAACAACAATATAATAATTCATAAAGGGATAAAATACTGTTTTTCCTATTGTAGTTTGCTACCCCGATTTGATTTTATGGATTTCAATTTAAAAATAAATCAAATTTATAACGTATCTTATTCCTTCAGAGGTGGAATTTCAACACATTTATCCTGGTTTCCAAATGATGTACAATTTAAGGAAGTAAAGATCTAAATGTCGTTATTTCATAAATACCTTGGGTGTAGAATTATAAAATTTCGTTGTTTATTATCGAAAAGTGAAATTAAATCATAATATTCTAAGAAAATAACAAATTAATTTCTTAATTTATAAAACACGAAATATTTCTTTATATATTTTGATAATAGTCCAATTTTTTAAGTATAGATCTAAGGCCTTTGCTGGCTTAGGATTGAAAATTTCAAAAATATTTTCTATATGGTAATCTAATTATGAAAAAAAAAATATGATAATTGACTTCTAATTTTTGACCTTACTTACCATTGTTTGGGGTATTGAATGATCATATAGTCCAGTCCTTAAATTTTAGTAGAGGAACGCATCTTTAATACGACTTTAAGAGTACTAGCAGACACGGCAAACTTTAGTTTGTCAAATTAACTAATATGGCTATTAAAATAGGGGTTTAAGGTAGAAGAGTGAAAATTTAGGTTTGTATGTATTTTTAATGCCGAATAAAAATAATATTTCTAAAAGTTATGATTTTTCTGGTAGGTGGCCCATACCAAATAAATCAATTATTATATTATATATATTTTTTTTTTGTTATAATCATAACCTTGGATAATTTTCTATTCTCTGAGCTACCGAGTATACGTATAAAATTTCAGTAAAATCGGTTCAGTTGTATCGTAAACAAATAACGTGACACGAAATATTTATATTAAAATGGATTAACTTCAACCAGGAAAACAGGTTCACACTATGAAATTATTATATAATAATCGTCATCCAATTATTGTGAAACGATATATTAATAAAAACAGAAAAACGTTGTAGTGACGTAGCGAGCGTGAACTCTTTACGTGACTTTCGAACGAGATTTTGGTAGTGTTATGTAGTACAACGAAAATAAACGACCTAAAAAGAAGGTAAAGACAATTTGTCTTTGCGTGGTGAACTCTTCAAATAATCAAACGTGGTTAAACCGAACGATTCATAAAAGAAATGTTAGTTCTGAAGATTAGCCTTCACATACATACAGTCAAAATTCATAAACTTTATAATATTTAACTACAATTAAAGTTTAAAATTATTATAAGATTAATATGTAAGTTCAAACTAATTATTTCTGTCCATTCAGTTTCAATTTGAGGCCCTTGGTGGTCTAGCGGTTCCACACTGCTCGACTTCCTACGTACTTTACGTTCGTAGGTTCGAGTAGTCGCAAGATGCAAACATTTGTATTGAGAAGTATGATTGTTTATATCCATCTGGGTGTTTTCTATGTACATTATAAAAAAATCTAGTCAAGAATTTTGATTCATTGTATAGTTAGCTGTCCAATCTAGACAGTAGTTATTTTGATAAAAAAAATTATGACGTGCTTGAGACCGAAAGCTATTAATGAATGTATTTTATTTTATCTGCGTACGCGTAAGAAAATCTGCTTAGCTTGGGACTAGAAGGCGATTTTTAAATTGTCCTGGTTTATTGTTATTAATAGTAATTTCATTGGAACTTGCTCGTGCCCGCGACTTTCAACAAATAGTATTTAAAGGTCATATGTTTTAAAACATTTTGGAATATGTTACGGGAACTTTGGTGAAACACTTCAGTGAAAACAGTGAAAGCATTCAAATCCGTTTAGCCGTTGATTAGATTAGGAGTCCTCCACAAATTAAGTCACACCAATTTCAGTCATTTTTAACCCCTGTCACATAATAAAAGAAAAAAAATCGTGTTTTATATCTAAAATTAAAATGTGATGTAAGTAAAAATAAATTACTCACAAGTCTAACAGCATAGGAAGGTGGAAAGGGTCACACGTACTTTGTCACTCCTCCTACACCTACAATGTCACACTTTGTCCCCCCTTAACGTGTGATGTAATATATCAATAGATAAGGAACCATTGATATATTACATCGCGCAAGCAAAAAATAATTTTCAGACCTCGATTACATTACAAGATGTAATTACTTACATATTGCAACAGGATACAAGATCGTATGATTATATAGTATCAAAGAGTATTTGGTTTAATATTTTATTGTATTGTATGATGAAAAATTATTGCCAAAACTATTAGTATGTATATTATTGCAATTTTAAAATTACAACGAAATACACTATGAATTTTTAAAGTCCAGAATCCTAAAAATAAAAGAAAAAATGATAAACTGTTACTTTTCTTGGATTTTTTGTACGCCCGAGTGGCCGATCAATTATATACCAAGCATTCACGGCCTAAAAAAACACGCATAATGAAACAAATAACACCACGAGGTGACCTCATAGAGTAAAGCAGTCATCCCTACCCCTCCCCCTCCCGCCACTATGGGCGAATATTTTAAGTAAAATATTTTGTTAAAAAGAATATATTTTCATACAGAAAATAAATCCCTAGCAATATATAAAAACTTAATAAGGAATTAATGATAAAATGTCTATAGATTTACATAGATATTTTATCATTAATTCATATACATTTAGAAATGGTATGGTGACCGATTGATGAGTGACAAGAATTTTTTTTGTATGACACGGATTAACACTGTACGTCATGTGTTCGCTCTATAAAATGGCGGCGAGTACAAAGTCCATGTCTATTACATCCGCTAGTTCGATGTGTCATATGTATCTATTTTATGATCGTGGTAGAAGTTTTAATTTCCGTGTTTCTTTTTCGTTTTAATGTTTTATATATTCCCTCCAAGGATTCGTACACGATATGATAGGAATACTATGCGAAATAATTTCCTAATGTATTATACATACAACATAAAAATTAAATCATTACAATAATCAATACTGAAAAACTTACCATTTTTATTCATAAAGTTGCGACATATGACACGATAGAAAACTGCACAAAGAAACGCCACACCCTATTGCGACGCAACATGGCGGTACATAATGCGTCGTACTTGGTTACAAGCACGTCTACAATCACTATTAGTTATAAGTTATATCAGTTCAGATAGATTACTTTACACAATATAAAAAAATATAATCGTCTTATATCACGATTAAAACTAAATGTGTATATATACTACATATATGGGTAATATATATACACTTAATAATAAGTGTTAATTCAATTTGGAAATTGTTTACTTTTACTATAATAGTGTAATTCTGACAGAGACGTGGATTTTAGACTTAGGTTTTGCGATGTATATTTCAATAATTATTACACTTAGCAAATCAATGAGTTGGCAGAATTCCAGGCCAGGGACAGCTACGCCGTTCAATTCAAGAACACAGCCGTACAACGAAGAATGTGGCTGCAGAATGAAAGGAAACGAATGAAACGAATGATAGTGATATTCTAGAAAAAATTTACATTTCAAAGTTGCCAGCTTTAGAAAGTTTTTCCCCTAAATTATTTCAATATTTTTGTCCACGTATATTACAAAAGACATCATGCCCATTACACCACAAATGCCTCTCCTACTAAATTAGACTGGACCACCAAAATAACCAATAGACCCAAAGGAAGCAATAAATAATCAGTTTCGATTACGTAATAATAATTACAATGACATCGAATTCTATTCACAAAAATCGAATTGAATTACAATAAATTTAGTAAAAATAAATTTTACCGTAATTGTAATTGTGCAAATTAAAACAGTGACGAGTAGTTATTTGTAAAATGCAAAAGTAAAATAAACTTTTATAGTCTATTAGAACTTCAGTAATAAAACTGTGATCAAAGTACAAGGTTTGATTTTGTTTTATTATCTAAATGGATGGTAATTTTGTAATATATACTACATAGTATAAATACTTCCCCAACATCGTACAACGCACCCTCAATCACGTCGTCGTCACCAATTTAGCGGCCCCAACATAGCCGCTAAACATGTCAACCCCGCACGCCGTTATATCGAACCTAATTATAACAGATCTTAAAATTATTTTTATCAGCTCCCACAAACAGCGCAATCTCAAAAGAAGAGGCATACACTGAATAATACCCACAAGGTTTAGTTGAAGTTCAGAGTTAGGGAAGTATTTTTTAAATGTCCACATAGTTTGTGTTCTTAATACTAAAAATAATAATTACTTAATAACATGCAGCAATTAGTAATTATAGTAACTAGTATTTACAATAATGTAATTATAATAACACATTTCTTATTTATAAATATGTACATGAAAATTCAGTTCCTCCTATTAAAAATAGGTAAATTTTTCTCCAAATTATAGGAGAATCTTGCAGTTGATGGGGTAAATTGAACGAATGAGATGATTTCGTCAGGACGGAAAAGGAAATGATTTCATCTGAGCATAGAGAATTTGAAATCATTCATAGCGTTGCATTACATTTATTTTGGCCCAAAGTACCGGTAGACTCAATTAGTTCCTTTCTAAACTTTTCTTTAATATTGGTTAGGGTCTAATACTTTTTTGCGATTAATTGAACTTGCACGCTCTATTATATGCCCTAGTTGTGGGCATAGATTAATTACAAGTCCGGTTTTTATATAATTCTTTCAAAAAACACTGAAGGTGTGACATCAAATGGATACGTAAATGTAATAAAATAACAACATAGAATCTATTAATAAAGAAAAAAAAAATAAGTTAAATAGGTCTTTTCGTTGCATTGAATCAAGTGTTTAATTTCTGTTTTTAGTGTAAATTGGTGTTTATTTTTATTTTTAGAGCTTCGAGGAAAGGTTTATCTTCGATCCAATATTTATTCTCTATTTAGTTTGTCTTCAATGATGATACCTAAAATTAATGTTAATTATCGTTTCTTATAAAAGTTTTATTACACTGATTGAATGTGTATAATCTGTAGGTATTTTATTAAAGCGCGTAAAAGAAAATTGATATGATATAAATATTAAATTTAGGGTCATCACTACAACTGTAAGTTATACCTGTTTTCTATGAAAGAAATGGCGTTTTTTAGAATAATTGAAATGCTAAGTGATACATTCCGAGAACGCTATGAAACTAACTATCAAAAATTAAAAGTTACGATTCAACATATCGGTACTGAACTACACCATTACAGACATTGCAGCTGGTAACATTAATTGAAAACTTGACATTTACTCTTCGTGTTAAAAAAAAGAATATCTATCAACTCCAATGAAATCAACCTCCTTAATTTGATTTTATTCAGAGTACGAGAAGTGTACTTACTTTATTAAGTAATTGTAATTTTTATATGAGGATTTCGTTTGAGAATTTTAATTTATAAAACAAAATTAATAATGTGGAGTGATTCTTTATTAATCGTTTTTATATCTATTTGCACGGCATTTTTAGGAGAAGGTAATTGTTTATAAAATATATTTATAGACGGTAACGCTATTTACAGACATAATTCGAGTAACTGTGGTTTATGATCAGATAAATTGTTTTTGATTGAAAAGAAATTGGGCATGGCTCTTATATTTATCATAATTGCAACTATAAAACTCTGCATAACTAATGGATTTTACTTGTTTGATTTTTTTTTTATTCCTTGTATATTTGCTATCAGCCAATTAACATTTATCATATTTGATGGATTTAATTAAAATAATTATTGTGTTACAGGTCTCACTTGGATACTAGTTTATAGAACAGAAAAATTTCAAAAACTAAAAGTTGAAGTAGAGAGACAGAGTAAGAAATGTATGTTCTGATATTATTTTGTTTATTTTTGGTTTTGATCAGTATAATAATAATAGTATAACGGGATATTTCACACAGCACTATCTAGTCCTAAACTAATCAAGAGCTTGTGTTATGGGTACTAGACAATTGACAATTTATTTCTACTTCATAAATGGATTACTTATAGTTTTTGATTAATTACTACATTGGAACTTACTTTGTGTTATCTGTAATCTTCAATCATGGTCAGACCTGTTCAATCTTGGGAACTGAAAGTGTGGATACTAAAAAGGTGTATTATATGTACAGAAAGCAGTTAAATATTTAAATACAAGATTTGATATAAATTGAAGTTACAGTCAGTTGCATTTGCATTTGTAAATACATAATAAAGAGAAATGATGCAACTATTACCATAATATGATTGTAATAGTTGCAACCATAGGGAGTATAGCGGTGTACTAAACACACACAGTAGCTGCAAAATGTTTGTCTTTCAAATTATTTTCAGTGGAGAAACGAAAAGAAGCTCATGGTGATTCTTTGGACAAACAACATAAGAAGAAAATTGAAAGAGAGGAGGAAAGATTAAAGAATAATAATAGGGATCTGTCCTTGGTCAAGATGAAATCAATGTTTGCTATTGGTTTTGCCTTTACAGCTTTACTTAGCATGTTCAATAGTATGTAAGTAAGACACTCTTCTCAATTAACTTAATATTATGTATAAAAACTGCCACACTATATACCCACAAATAGAGGCGCCTATACTTTCCCAAATTAGTCAGACCTTACCTAAATTGGGATGAAAATCATTAATTAAATTATTGTTAGTACTTAATATTTCCATACAAATAGTAATTTAAGGTATTTATACTTAGGATTATTAATAATTAAATATGTAATAACATGTTTAAAATACTATTTAAATGAACACACTAACACTTACAATGTTTAATTATAAAAGTTATTTTTCAGATTTGATGGTAGAGTTGTAGCTAAGCTTCCATTCTATCCAATTTCTTGGATTCAGGGTTTAAGCCACAGGAACTTATCAGGAGATGACTATACAGATTGTTCCTTCATATTCTTATACATTCTGTGCACAATGAGTATAAGGTAAGAATTATGTTAACCTGTTAACCGAGCGGGATGTCTAAATATGTGAAACATCATACTTTTGTGTACATGTAGGACATATGTATACCTAGATTTTTAAAATTTCTGCAACACCCTGAAACCTGGAGAGGGTGGAATATTCCATACAAAAAATATATACATTAAATTATATTGTGCTGACATACTAACACATATTAGTAAGGGGCAATGCCCGTTATATGCTGCGTAATTAAAAAAGAAATTCCCGGTTAACAGGTTGTGTTCTCTCAATAAATTGTTTCATAGTGTTACAATACAAATGCCTTGAATATTTACTAGTGAACTGTAAGTGATGAGAAGCTTAGTCTACTCTATGATGCATATCAATATATCAGTGGTATAATGAATGTCACATGATTGTGATGTTCATGATGCTGTTTATGTATATATTTAGGCGACAGTTACTGCTGACCATCAGGTTGGCTATTAGCTAGTTTGCTAATATAATTACATAAACAGTTTTTTTTTATTATATAGATATAAATGTCCCAAATACGGTGTTTATCACATCTACATTGTGCTGACATGATCTTTCATAATTAATTTTAAAATTAATTCCCGTGCATCATCCTAGTCATAATAGGACACTTAGACATACATTTATTTTTGCCTTGGGCCAACTTAAGAAATCAGCTTTGGTTTGTTTATTAGGCTTTAATATTAGTTTTCGAAAATTAAAAAAGGTTGTTTGTTAAATACTGATACCCCATTTTATCTTTTTACTTTTCCACATCTCAAGGATATCCATTTTATCTTTTTAGTTTGGAATCCTAAAAGTTAAAGAAATGTACTCATCTCCACTATAAGTTATTATATGCTACCCTGTAGATGTATGTAGATCATTGAAGAAATTGTACCTAGTGAGGAATTTCACATAAAGATAAAAAATATTATCTTTTGTTATTGTAACTATATTTTGTTTCTAACATGTATTTTTTCTTGCAGACAAAACATTCAAAAGCTTTTAGGATTTGCGCCTTCTCGTGCCGCATCTAAACAAGGAGGTGCACTGTTTGTACCGCCACCAGCACAGTTCAAGTAATAATTGCATAATGTAAATTATAGAATAATTTATTTCAAATAATTAAATATTGTAATTTAACCATTGTATTATTTACATTCACTAGTACTGGTTTATTGAATAACCAAATTTATAATATTATCCCTAATTTTAAAAAAAAGTTAACTTAAAGGATCATAATTTAAATTATATTCCTTTAAGTTAACATTTTTCAGCATTACATGGAATTGTATTTTTTTCCTGAGTTGTTGTTACACATCAAATTCTTTAAAACAACCCATACTTTGTATACAAAACATGTATCTTAGTTACCTAAATTAATATATATTAAATTCTACTAATGGCTCATTAATAAGTAGCCTATCAAATCCCAATCTTGTTAGATCTATTGTAGAATAGTGACTATCAATTATTAATTCTGAAATAGCTCTACCGATTCCTGGAGCATGGTGTAAACCTGAAAGAAAGATTATTGTAAATAAATTATTTAATCTTAGTCCATGAAAACAAGCATTACTGAAATACCAAGGTCTACTTTGTACAAAGTTGAAATCTATTTATGGTATGAGTTCAAACGAGTTATTACGTCAATGTTTTAAAGAATCAAATATCGTGTGTGTTTCGAAAGCCTTAAGAGGTCTAAATTTATCATAATATATATCTCAGTTCTTGGAATAGCAAAAATAGCAGTATTATACCAATTACATAAAATTATATTCAAAAGGAAATCCTCAAATCAGTTAGCATGAGTTTTGTTTTATTACTGTGTGTACGCGCAATTACGCATCCAGCTGGATTACATATACTTACCATACTTGCCAAATCCTGCTGCTATGTACAAATTGTTGTGATATGGATGAGGGCCCAAAATACCAGTATCATCGTATGTGTTGCAGTCTTGTAATTCACTAGAAATTTTTAGTACCTATAATAATTCGAATTGAATTAAACAAAAACGACTTTGCTACAATACTCAATGAAAGTTTCATTAATTCAAGTCGGTTAAGCCGTAACTTATATTAGCGTGTACAAACGCATAGGCAAACAAAAATTATAAAAGCGTAAATTATTTTTTTCGACGTTGGGTATAAACAAAGAAATTCATTGTGTGCAAATTAATTAATAATTAAATATCCCCTGATATATCATTACTGGTATTCATATTTATGAATGGCCAAGTGTACCTGGGCTCCAGTCGTGTTTGGGAATCTGTTGATCAATGTTGGCTCTATAATATTTTTGTAATAATCTTCTTTAGATAATGTTTTGCTGTCGTCTCTAATTAACGGAACTAATCCACACAACAAGTTGTCTTCCAAACAATTTCTCCTTAACCACAAACCACTAGTATCCATTACAATGGGAGTATTAAGTCCAGTTTTCTTAGCTTCATTTTCTATAGAATATATCTCATATTGTCTATAAAAAATAAAAATAATATATTATTAAGCAGCTTATAATAATAATAATCGACCCGACATGGTACATGATGGCTCAACTTCACAACGTCAGAAACTATTGGGGTTAATTCACGATGCTACGATGGGTTCTCTAACCTCATGTTCGTCGTAGCCATCTCCTCTGCTGTCCCTCTGGGAGTGAACAATTATATTGTTTACTTTTTTACATATAGTATTTAAATATTGATCAAGTTTTACTTATAATATGAACTAATACTTTAACTACGATTATTTGTGATGATCTGTAATATGACGGTATACAATAACTTGCGATTTGCACCCTTTTCTATGAAACTGGCATACTGTCTGCCATTGGCGGGAAGCCTAATTTAACAACTGTCGCTTATATACATATCACCTTGTCATGTGATGCCCATGGCCTTCATGTATTGCCATTCATGAGGACTAAGGTATGTGATCCATACACATAACACATGACATCTGTTGTTCATTGCCATATCACATGCTTCAAATCAAACCTACAAAGCAAGCTACTTGGTATCCTGAAAACATTTATAAAGTCTATGAAGAGACAAATCGATAAGTACTCTAGTATAGCATAATGCTTATACAAAAATACACACAAACAAAATTTAAATGAATATATATGAATTTGAGGTGATGTGCACGGAGAAAGCCCATTCAGTTGTATATATTGCACACATAAAATAAAATAGCCTATCTACTAAATTTTAATATTACATGACAATACAAAAACTATGAGATAGAGTAATATGATTCATCACTTGGTTTTATTAAGACCAAGTACTAATAAAATTTAATGATGATAAATGTTAATAAATTCATTTTCGAGGATGCTTAATTCAAGAATTTTAGTAGTGTAATGGTCATGTTACAATATTGCACCTTGATTCTATGGGTAAAGGTATAGAAAGAAGTCCTTCACTTTGTCCCACTTTGGCCAATTTTGCTATTTCTCCTGACTCATGCCCAGCTGCCAATATACAAGCAGCAAACTTGATAGCATATTCTTCATTATCAGGTGTTCTATATACAACTTTGTTTATTTTTTCATATGTACCAGGAGACACACCTTCCATCAAAACATCACGTTGTTTTTCCATTTCAAATCCCACTACTTCAGCATTTACATAAATAGTTCCAAGTTGTTGTGCTTTTTGTACAAGGCCTTTCAATAATGCCCAAGAATTAACTACACCTTCTGATTCTAATCCTATACACCCTGAAACAAAATAGTTCATGTTTTTAAATGTACACAAACAATGTAAAATAAACTCTTAAGACTACATATTTTATTGGATAATCAAATGATAGTGATCCATTGTTCACATGACCAAGCTGTTTATCACACATCACACAACCTTAAGCGCAGTCCATTAATCATGGGATGTTTATTAGCATTTTTAATGCTCCACCTTAGTTTATCTATGTACCATGTCAGGTTCACTTCCACATGGTTCCCCTGTAAACCATGGTGGCTAATTCCAGGTGAATTTGTCATGGTGGGCTAATTGACCTAACCTCATATGGTAGGTTGAACATTTTATCATCCTCCACTGGTGCCCTGCCATAGTATACCACTAGAGCAGATGTGTGCACCATTTCATTATTTTAGATTGTCACACTATACATGATGTATTAAATATATAGAAAAAATGTATGTATTTACATATTTCTATCAGTTGTCTAATGCAGCTCTGTTAAACTTACCTAAATGGTGGTGTGAATTGCCTAGATTATTATTATAGATACATATAATTTTTAGTACTGCAGAAAAATTATTTCAAAATTGTACTAAAGCATCATTAAGTAGATTTGTAAATGCAATCCCTTAACGCACATGAAACAATAGTAAAGGGCATTTGACATGTTTTTCACAAAAATGGCAAAACATTAGAGAGGCAATTAATATTACCACAGTAATTCTGAAATTTCCACTGTAATGTTTTGTCCATTAAGTTCTGTTTGTTTCTTTTCTTTTTTACTAGAAAAACATATAATTAACCATCTTACCAAGTTGTACATCTTTGGTGTTAATCCATGGGTATCTTGAATTAATTTCATCTGGTGTCAGTAATTCATTTTTAAGACCATATTCTTTTTGTATAGTCACAGTTGTTTCTAACTTATCAGCATATTTTTCACTAGCTAACACCAAATATCCACTTGGATTATATTGAACATCCACATCATCACCTAAATTTTCTTTAGCTTTCCTTATAAATTCTGTACCATACTGAGATAAAAAAACATTTTCAGGCAAAGAAAAATGTTGAGTAAGTGTTCCAAGTGAAATATTGTTTTGTATATTTTTATACTGAAATAAAAGGCATATGTTGAAAAATTATGCAAATGTCAGACTTACTGATGATAGGTCAAAGAAATTAATGAAAAATTCAACATGTAGAATAAATAAGTTTCAAGTGGACACTCATGTCTAATCAATTAAAACTTAAATAATTATACTTTAAAGCACATGGGCTAACTGATCAGAGCTCATGCTCATCTTATCGTCCCTCACCCCCCACCGTGTAAACCGTTTTTTTTTTGGATGCACCATTCCATTATCATAAAAAAAAATATCCATCGAGGTGATTGCATCATTGCATTAAAAAAAAACTAGATATCGTAATTTGACCACGGACTAATATACTTACAGTAATATCTTTTTCTAATACAACTATAGATAATCCATCTGCGGCTCTTCTTTTTAACCAATACGCTGTTGCCGACCCAATGAAACCACCTCCAATAATAACAATGTCTACATGTTCAGGATAAACAGGCTTTTTTTTATTAATACCCAGAAACTCAGGCGCATCCTTCGCAATTACTTTCCATGTTTTGACAAAAGGATTATCTTTTCTGTAGTGCCGGAGGTTAGATATATTTTTATTTACAATATGACTGAAAAGTTTCATAAATATCATGACGAAATTTCTTAATTTCGCTAACTCTTTGTATAGGTAGTTTTTATAATATTTTAGTGCAGAATAAGTCTTTAATAAGGAGTATTTACAAAACAGATAACAATATATTGATTTTGTATTTTAAGCACATTTCATGATAATTGAATAATAGAAACAGACTCAACTCAAACTCATATATACAGTAGTAGTAGTGGTATATTTTATCCACAAGTGGATAGGCAAAGGTACGAGACCATACAGCCTAATCTTCAGTAGTATTTCCATGAAATTCAAAAATTCTTCAAGGCGATATCGCCAAATCTTTTCATTAATGCATCATACATTCGTCTTTTCTCTGTCAGTTGTCAATATGGCACATTGACAGTCTGGGATGACCTCTGTCATGTTGTTCGTGCCCAAGAAGGAGACCTATATTAGAATGAAGAATCCAAATTCAAATAGCAGCTATTTCAGCAATATTGTGATTATGAAGTTACTAATATGTCAAAAAAGATCGAGTAAATGTATTCGAAGATTGTCACTTAGGAACAGTTTTGTTAGATCGTCATCACTTTTTACAGTAAGATTCTTAATATTTCTATTCATAGATAAATATTATAACAGAATTTATTCAGTATGCAAGTCCATTATGTACCCAAAATTATACTTCGTTCGAAACAAATTATTCCCACACATTTAAATCTCATATGATAGTCTTTGTAGAACGTCCCAAAGACGAAAGAATTCTCGTACAAGTAATTTTGTTGGTTGGTTGCACTGTATCACATTATAACGCGTCTATAAATAAAAACTAATACAAGTACCTAAAAACAACAACATACCTAATTAGTATAAACTTTCGAAATTACGAACTATCTCTAAGTATTTATACATAAATTCTAACTTCTCATAAGTGTCATAATCATATTGCGTTTGTTGCTGTCGCATTGCGATTTCTATTGCTTCTGTTATTGTTCTGCGACGGGACACAAACACAGAGTACTTTTATAAAAACTGTAAATACTGAAGTTAAAACCACAATAAAAATAATTATTTTTATTAACCTATTAATTATAGTGATTAGTCTATATTAATGTATAAATATATTTGCCATGGATTCTAAGTATACAACAATTATTGGAGGCGATAATGGACTCAAAAGGAAAGCTACTATTGTTGATAACCTATCAGTCAAAAAGTTGAAACTGTTTAGAGAAAATTCACATGTGGTTGAAAAGGGTAAAGTTAATGTGCAAATTGCAAAAACCTTACCAAAGACAATCCCTACCGAGAATTTACAAGAAGCAAGAAGAAACTTACCTGTTTATTCTGTCCGTGGCAGGTTAGTATTAAATAGAGAGTTCATTACATGCCTTTTTTGTAATAATGTTTTAATCCACGTTTTATATACTAATAACTACTTGTTGTTTCTTAAACTTTTCTTAGTAGATATAAATATTTGAGTACAAATCGCAATTTGGGGCTAATACACGTACACAGGCAAGGCACTAGCGAAGGAGGATAGGATGGGTATATATATATAATTCACCAGGAATTAACAATGATGGTTTTTAGAGATGACCATATGGAGCTCTTCCTAATATGGTTACATAATTAAGTCCTCATTACTACTCATAATTTGACTAACAATATTTTTAGAACATCTATATATACTAATGAGTGAAGACCTTGAACTATATTTAATAGATCCATTCTGAACAGACTGTATAGAAATTCTAAAAAATATGTTTTCCTCATCATCAATATACACATGTTTTTGGATTAAAACATATTTTTAATTTCTATAGAAATTATATATCATATAGCACTTTCTTTTTATTTTAAACAATTTTATGTTTTCACATAAAATTACAGATTAATAGAGGAGATAAAGAAACACCAAACAATGATTTTGATTGGTGAAACAGGTAGTGGTAAAACAACCCAGATTCCTCAATTGCTACATGAACACAGGCTTGAGGGTAATGGAATTATAGCAGTAACCCAACCACGAAGGGTAGCAGCTATCACAATAGCTCTTCGTGTTGCATCTGAGATGAACACTGAAATAGGTGCTATAGTTGGGTAAGTCTACTGTTTGTTTTAGATATTTAAAATGATGTATTTTATAATTATATGACCAAGGTAGGCATAATACAAAATAACCCTGTGTACCTTTGTTTCACCTATTTTTTATTGTTAAAGAGCTTGCTGAGTTTTAGTTTGAAGAGTGAGATAAATCAGTGAAAGTGCAGTATATGGAGGCATCACACCATAATTCTTATAAGTATAGGATTATAGTTCATTTCACAATCTTGCATCCATAGTATTGTATAATTTTATGTATGTAAAACTGCTGGCATAGTTTTACATATGAAATTTATAGCCTATTATGTGTTATTCTGATGCTCTCATTAAAATCCATTTAGAAGTTTGTTGCATGAAAATGTAACAACCATCCATCTATACTCATACACATACACATTTATAATATTAGTATAATAGTTAGATGCCAAGGTACCTGGGTCACAAAACGCACATTTAAGAATATTTTATTAAATAAATATTTTTTTCAGGTACTGTGTAAGGTTTGAGGATGTTACTAGTACAAAAACTAAGGTTAAGTACATGACAGATGGTATGTTGCTTAGAGAAGCCATACTAGATCCATTGTTACGAAGATATTCCATAGTGATACTTGATGAAGCTCATGAGCGTACTGTTAGTACAGATGTTCTATTTGGTATAGTTAAATTAGCACAAAAAGAAAGAAATGGGAATAAATCAAATCCACTAAAGGTATGTTTAAGTGACAAAACTAAATTTGGCATCAGTTCTTTATCTTGCCCTATGCCTACAATACAATGATTATCTACAATAAGATCTAAATTATTGATCTATTTTTAAGCAGTGTCTATATTTGCTTCATTGATATGTTGTATTGATATTTTAGTCTATGATTTAGATTTTATTTAAGAACTGTCAAAAATAATCATATTATGCTAAAATTGTAATAGGATTTTTCTACATTTGTATACTGTATATTGTTATTAAGTATATTTCCCTTATGTTAATATTGTAACTACAGCTTTTTAATTTAGAAGTTGTTATATTCAATGGTAAAGTTCTTCATTTTACTGAATTGGATTTGAGGGTGATATGCACTTTCAGACTAATTATATAAATATAGATCATGTCTTTGATACTATCACTGTAATTTATTTTTAGGTAATCATAATGTCAGCCACAATGGATGTAGATACATTCAGACAATACTATGATAATTGTCCAGTTATATATTTAGAAGGCAGGACATATCCTGTAACTATTTATCATTCAAAATTGAAACAAGAAGATTATCAATATGCTGCAGTTTGTACAATATTTCAACTCCATGCCACAACACCGCCTAAGTATGTGCAGTTATATAATTTACAGCATATTGTTACTTTCATTATAAGTTATTTAAATTATTAAAGGATCTTCTTATTATAGGTTCTTATATTCGACTCTGAATACTGGCTATAAACATTAATTTTACTGTTTCTGTAATAGTTACATATGCCTTTAAACTGTTTTATTATTATTATTATAGCTTTAAAATCCACATAATATTTTTCAAACATTATACTTATTATTGTTATTTATTTTTTGGTTTATTTACTATATTTTTTTCTTATTATGTAGACCCCTCGGGTAAAAGCCTCCTGCATCTTCTGCCATCTCTCTCTATCCATGGCAGTTTGCATCCAGTCTATTCCTGCTATGTTTTTTGTGTCATCTGCCCATCTTTTTTACTGCTGTCCTACTTTTCTTTTGCCTGTTGTACCCAACCATTTTGTCATTACATTAGTCCGTCTCCTGTCTTTGTATCGCACCAAGTTACATTTTTGTTTCAAACTGAACTGGAGAGCATCTGTCAATTTGGTCTTCTTTCGGATGTCTGTATTTCTGGTTTTTTGTGTTCTTTTAAGGTTCAAAATACATCTTTCCATCGCATGTTGACAAGACAAGAATTTGTTATTAACTTTTCTGTGTAGATCCATGTTTAAACTGAAAGGGAAAATAATTTACTTAATGAATTACTTACTTAATTTTTTTAACATATATATATATATACACATATTTCCAATCTTAAAGAACAGAAAAAATAATAAGCAATATTTTATTTCATTTACTATTGTGTTTAAAATATTCAAAATTTTAAATTAAGATAATGAATAGTTTTATAAATAATCATAATAATTGGTCAATTCTGTGCATGTTTATTTGCAATCTTTCTTTAGTTACTACATAACTAGAACTTCACTACTCTGTTATATGTAATACTTTACACTATTACTAGAGTGTCTGTCACTCCTTAGGAGCGCTGTGCTCGGAATTGAGTTCAAGTAATCAATGAAAATAGATACATGTTATTTATATCTATGATAATATATTTACTTTTTTTTAAGATTATAATAATGTTCCAGCCATGACTTCCTTGTATTTTTAACTGGCCAAGAAGAAATTGAGACTGTCATGTATAATATTAAGCAAATTGCTAAAGTAAGTAAATATTTTTTAATGACCTATTTTTATAAATATACCGCTACATGTTCGCTACCGTTACCGCTACATATATTTTATATTTTGAATTACAGGAAGCACCTGGGCCACCTATTAGGGTGTGTCCATTGTATGCTGGTCTTCCAGCCCAGAAACAGTTACAAGTATGGAAGGATACTCCACCGGGCATGCGGAAAATTGTCTTAGCGACTAACATAGCCGAGGCATCTGTCACCATTCCAACTATTAAGTGCGTCATTGATACGGGCGTTGTCAAAGAAAGGTATTCTTGATCTTTTGATATTATTAGAATACCATTGTTTACATTTATGTAGGTACTAGCTGACCCGTGCAACGTGAATGATTATCTAAACGAAACGCTTTTTAAGAATAATATTGTTCTTGAGGTGACTAATGATTGACAATCTCATTATGAAATGATTTAAAAAAAAATCGTGTATGTTTTTGTACGGTTAAGGTACCTAGTTACCAAAGTCTAAGAAATGTAGTTAATTGACAAAACTGTATTATTGTATTAGGAGTAATGGAGTACAGTACATTGTAAATTATTCGTTACAATGTATACTTTCAAATCCTTGCAATTTAATATATCCTTTCTGACTATACCTGTACTGAATATTTAATTACTGCTAAACAACGTGCTAAGCTGCATTTCGGTTGATGCTTGAGATTTTTCAGTCCTCGAGAATAGTAATATACTAAGGGCATCACCAGGTAACGTGATGTCTGCTGTGCTATTCATCTATATAGGCAACAGTTGCCACAGTACAAAGGTGATATGATTGACGGTCGTGGGGCGCTGGGCGCGATGTTGTGCGGTATTTGTGTGGAGGACGGACGTGCACACTAATACCGTACAACATTGAGTGGGAGTTACTTAATTCTGCTACTAAACAGCGTGCTATCTAATCTGTCGGTTGAAGCCTGAGATTTCTTAGTCGAAAATGATAATTACTTGTATCATCAGATAACGCGATGTTGCTGTGTTTAGGTATATAGGCGAGGGTTGCACAAAAAAGGAGAAAGATATGATGGAATTGTCAAGGTGCGGTGGTGGTACGCGAGGCGCGATGGTGTAGTGTGTCGGTGTGTCAGGACGTGGTGCGGGTGGTCGCAGGCGGGCGGGTGGCAGCGTGCGGGCCGCGCGGGCCGCACGGCCGCCTGCGAGCACGCGGCCATGCGCGAGTCTCGATGGTGTAGTGTGTCGGTGTGTCAGGACGTGGTGCGGGTGGTCGGGCGCGGAGCGGCTGCGCGTGGGCGCGTGCTCGCAGGCGGGCGGGTGGCAGCGTGCGGGCCGCGCGGGCCGCACGGCCGCCTGCGAGCACGCGGCCATGCGCGAGTCTCGATGGTGTAGTGTGTCGGTGTGTCAGGACGTGGTGCGGGTGGTCGGGCGCGGAGCGGCTGCGCGTGGGCGCGTGCTCGCAGGCGGGCGGGTGGCAGCGTGCGGGCCGCGCGGGCCGCACGGCCGCCTGCGAGCACGCGGCCATGCGCGAGTCTCGATGGTGTAGTGTGTCGGTGTGTCAGGACGTGGTGCGGGTGGTCGGGCGCGGAGCGGCTGCGCGTGGGCGCGTGCTCGCAGGCGGGCGGGTGGCAGCGTGCGGGCCGCGCGGGCCGCACGGCCGCCTGCGAGCACGCGGCCATGCGCGAGTCTCGATGGTGTAGTGTGTCGGTGTGTCAGGACGTGGTGCGGGTGGTCGGGCGCGGAGCGGCTGCGCGTGGGCGCGTGCTCGCAGGCGGGCGGGTGGCAGCGTGCGGGCCGCGCGGGCCGCACGGCCGCCTGCGAGCACGCGGCCATGCGCGAGTCTCGATGGTGTAGTGTGTCGGTGTGTCAGGACGTGGTGCGGGTGGTCGGGCGCGGAGCGGCTGCGCGTGGGCGCGTGCTCGCAGGCGGGCGGGTGGCAGCGTGCGGGCCGCGCGGGCCGCACGGCCGCCTGCGAGCACGCGGCCCTGCGCGAGTCGCGATGGTGTAGTGTGTCGGTGTGTCAGGACGTGGTGCGGGTGGTCGCAGGCGGGCGGGTGGCAGCGTGCGGGCCGCGCGGGCCGCACGGCCGCCTGCGAGCACGCGGCCATGCGCGAGTCTCGATGGTGTAGTGTGTCGGTGTGTCAGGACGTGGTGCGGGTGGTCGGGCGCGGAGCGGCTGCGCGTGGGCGCGTGCTCGCAGGCGGGCGGGTGGCAGCGTGCGGGCCGCGCGGGCCGCACGGCCGCCTGCGAGCACGCGGCCAGGCGCGAGTCTCGATGGTGTAGTGTGTCGGTGTGTCAGGACGTGGTGCGGGTGGTCGGGCGCGGAGCGGCTGCGCGTGGGCGCGTGCTCGCAGGCGGGCGGGTGGCAGCGTGCGGGCCGCGCGGGCCGCACGGCCGCCTGCGAGCACGCGGCCATGCGCGAGTCTCGATGGTGTAGTGTGTCGGTGTGTCAGGACGTGGTGCGGGTGGTCGGGCGCGGAGCGGCTGCGCGTGGGCGCGTGCTCGCAGGCGGGCGGGTGGCAGCGTGCGGGCCGCGCGGGCCGCACGGCCGCCGGCGCCGCCTACCGCCTCTACACCGCAGCTGACTTCGCCTCGCGCCCGCTGCACACGACGCCGGAGATCTCCAGGTCTATACTCAATTATTTTAGTTTCAAAACAGTTGAAATTTATTACAAGCAATTATTTTATGTAACTATAACAACACGTCACCAATAATATATGAATTTTAGACAATCGACCTGTAAAGAGAATAAACATTTCACGCTATTATTTTACAAATTAAAACGATTTTAAATCTATTAACCTATACAGCGAAAACGTGAAACAAACTTTTCAAGTGAAAGAAGGCGATGAGACCAATAGTTATTAATCTGGTTGAGGGTAAATCCTGGTAAAGAGGTCCTGGCAAATTACTAAGTATAAATAATTCATCACTCATAATTGTTTTAACCGGGGTTGATGGGAACACTATATACCTATCATAAACAAATATATGTATTTTAATTACATTATACAGTGCTTATAATCTATATTAATAATTCCGTCAAGGGGTACGGTAGACTCGAACGAAACCTTATGTCAATAACAAAACATAAAAAAAAATATTGATTTCGAGTCGACAACATATATCCGCAAAATTCGGATTATGGAGTATTTCGTTAAATTCTAATGACACTGACAAACAAACTGCAGTCGTCATCTTTTCACTAGCTAACAAACAATCAACACTACGCGTGCGTTCGTGCCAAAGATCCATCACAAAGAACTGTGACATACGACATGTGTCGTTGACGTTTCGCGAAAATATATTTTTTTACACTTTTTTATGATAAAAGAGTACACAGTTATGTGTGTTTTCTTTAAATTGGCCAATTGCGAGACAAATTTGACGATATTTTTTTTTATTAATTAGTTTCACGGCTCTGGATACAAGTCCTTTTTAGCCCAACTTAAAGTTTTACAATATAAATTACAAAAATTAAAGTCAATGTCCCATGTCAATTAATAATAAATGTAAAATGTTGTTTCGCTGTTCTGATGAACTTATAAAAAAAACTTAATAACAATCACAATTTCTTCACGTTTTATTATTACACACATAATGCCCAGGTATTTGCATTTTTTAAATAAGGTTGTGGCACTATTGGAAATTAATGTATTTACCCATTTTTATAGGTTAATGGAAATAATGCGTCGGTGTTTATTTAAAAAGCATTAACACAAAATTAATAAAGTATAAGTAGGTATTAATAAATATATGGTTGTTGTATCAAAATAGGTTTTGTTATTTTTCACTAAAATAATAAAAAAGGCAGTTAGTCTGCCTTTTTTATAAAACAAATTACCTTTTAATAGTGTCATATATTATTTAACTGATTGTTAGAAAAACAATGTTAGTTTGTAGATTAATATTGTAAAAATTACTATTTGTACGGAAACGACAAAAATATATTTTTATTCTGTATTCAAAGACAGTAGTGGAAAAATTAGTATATGTACGTAAATTATAAAATTCTGTTATGGAAACGTCATATTAAACTTTAAAACTAATTTGTTAGAATAAAAGTTTCCGATTAAACAAATTGGTATGGCTACCCCGCTACAGGTGGTAATTTTTTTTTGGTTCTGTTTATCCTTAATCGGAAAGGCAAAGGGAACTGCGCCCATACAGCCGAGGAGGTAACATTATTTGAAAATTTGACATTTAAACCTGTCAATTTAGTCTCCCGGATTAAAAAACAAACTATAACCAAGTATGGCACTTACAAATTAATTACTAAGCTAAGTACTTGGTGTCCCTGTGGCTCCGAGCCCCGCATGTTTATGGGGGCTTGACCCCAGAGTGGGAGCATAGCAAATGGCTAACGCGGGGCGAGAGGGAAGGTTGAATGGAAGAGGAAATGGATAGAAAAAAGAGGAAGAAGGGGAAAAGGACGGTGGTGGACCACGTCGTCGTACTGAAGGAGCGACAAAACTAGGAACTCGCCAAATCCCAGAGAATCGCGCGGATAAATAAAAAAAAGAATGAAAATGACGATCAACAATGGGAAGGATGTTTGGATGAAGCAATTGCTTTTAAATATCTGGCAAAGTAGTGAGGGCTTAAAACAAAGAGGTTAACAGAGAATAAACCTTAAAAGTTATATGTTTTGTTAATTTATTTTGAATGTTGATTTAAAATAAAAACTATTTGTATAAATACTTTTGCACTTATTATTTACTATAGCATTTATTAAAGACAATGAACGAAGATTTACGAATCTCCTTGGTTACCTTTAATATTCTTTGAGAGCCGATGACTACAGAAATATCTACCAGAGCGAAGCCGGGTTTTCATCTAGTATTGATATGATAACAACTAAGTACAATGCACCCAATGTCATCTACTACCAACAACAAGCGATCTTGTGTTATACAGTGACTCACAAAAGTTACTCACACAAATGCCCCAATGATGTGTATCTCGATACAAAAAGTGGTCATACTTAATGAATTCAATAGACGCACAGCTGATACATTAGTATGTAATAGTGCTCCCAATGTGCTATTAAACAATACAAGTTGCATGATTATTGCTAAACTAGTCATGACATTACAATGATTACAAGGTTAAAAACGCTTTGGGGCATTTTTACCGTTTGATCATATCTCACAAAGAAAAGTAGTGGAGGAGAGAGGGAGGAAGCAGATGAATTTCTAAGTAGCTATAAGAGTGTTTATATTTTCAGCCGGTAGGTAGATTAAACGGAACATCACACATGTCGCGAGATTGTTCAAAATGGTCAAAAATGCCCGAATAGTTTTCATGATTTGCAGTGGCATAGGTTCATAGCCAGCCAATAGTAATTGATCATTGGCGGCTTATTCGAAAGCCAAGAAGCAAGGCTAGCACATACTATTAGTTCAGGTTTATTGATTGTATCCTCATGTCATAACAGGTGATGGAATGCGAAATGGTCAAACATTGGGGCATTTTTATGAGTCACTGTAAGTACTAGACAACTCATAGAAATACTTATAAACATTTTTTTATTGTAATACCTATATAATATATATAGAAAACACCCAGATCAATACAAATAATTATAATACAAATGTTTGTACAGAGCGAGGAATTGAACCGAAAGAGCTGTGTCGCTACCGCAAACCGCTAGGACACCGAGGCCGTCAAATAAATGTACATGTTGTATTAAGTTTTTTCATAGACTGTATTTTACGCTTCAATGATAGTAACACTATATAGTTATAATAATATTTTTTTTGTCAATTACAGATGTCCTTTAGCACCAACCATACTATTATTGATAGCAGCTGGTTTAGAACCAAACAATTTTCCACTCATTGAGCCACCTCCACCGGATTCTGTCAAATCTTCTTTAATATTATTAAAAGAATTAGGTAAGGCAAAATTTCTAACTGCAACACAAAATATAGTTTTTTTAGCTGTCGCCCGCGTGTGTGACAGTGTCTACTTTTTTGTTGAGAGGGATATATATATATATCTTCAAATTAGTCTGGGCAAACTGTTTCATTTATTCTTTCTGTGAAGCTCGAAATATAGTACAATACAGAGAAATAACACATTCCTCTGGAATAGGAATGTCACGTGTTGTTTGGTGGTTTGCCATTCCGTTGACCTATAGTAATTAATTAATTTTATAGCACATGTTTATAATTTTAACGATACATTTCAGGCGCTATTGATAACGACGTAAATCCTAAATTGACGGCGCTTGGCAAAAAGATATCTTCGTTTCCTATAGATCCTAAGTATGCTAAAGTTTTGTTGACTGCACCTGAATACAATTGCTTAGAGGAGGTAAGAATTTATTAATTATAAATGCTACACATTTTATAGCCATACTTTACACGTAATAATGTAGTAAACAGTATAAACCAAAATCCTTGTTTCATCTGTCTTTTTCTCTGCTTAGTTCAACCACTTAAACCAACCAACAGAAATGGATACATTTTTAGAATTTCGTCCGAAAGCTTTAATATGTATAATATTTGCATGTAGTTTTAACATGTTCGTCATATGCACACGCTACTACACCCGTCAAAACCCGATTTACTCACATATCCCAGGAACAATTTCAGACTTATCAGAAATATCACTTGCTGTCAATGCATGTATGCAAGGAAAATTAATTTGAATTTCTATGACTTATGGTGTAAAGGTCAATAAAATTTTAATCCTGCTTCCATAAACAAAATGACTCATAAGAATAATAATGACACTCATAAGAATAACTATTTACTTACAATAATTACTTACTAGTTTTTATTGTATTCGACTTTGTTATCTATTGTCGATTAGTATATATGGTTACTTTAATTTTATTTAATAATATTTTACTGGAGATATAATATTATAGGTAATGGATAACTTTTCTTTTCAGGCCTTAAGTTTGGTAGCAGTATTGTCAAGCGAAAATGTATTTTACACGCCAATGCATAAAAGAGAAGAAGCATTTAAGGTCAAACAGAAATTTGTATCACCATTAGGAGACCATCTCACTCTTCTGAACGTATATAAAGCTTTTTGCAAAGCACCACTGAAAAAGGTTCTTATAATCATTATAAAATTGTTTGTCAATTCTTAACGTGAATTATTTAATGGGAGACACAGATTATATTTCACTCGGCGTCTAGGTTGAAGAAGCTATTAAGTTACTGCCATTAAAATCGCTGTTCACTATTAATTTACTCGCGATCACAGCTAGTGCAATGTACTATTAAATTATTTGTCTTCAGACCCAGATTTTATAAGTTAACTTAGTAGACAGTTATCAGCCACGAAATATTTATTTAAATCGAAATATTCATATTTGTAATTTTCTGTACTAAGTTAATCATATTTTGTGAAAATAAATATCTGTAATTAAAATAAATATACATAATTGTTGTGTGGAAATGTATTGACAAAAGTCATAACTAACGTATCCGATATTTATTTTAGCAATGGTGTAAAGAAAACTACCTAAACCATAAAAATCTCTCGTACGCGTGTGAAGTACGACAACAGCTACTTTCCGTTTGTCAACGGCTAAATTTATCTTTGTCCAGCTGTGGACCATCTACTGACCAGGTACGGTGATGTTATACAATATCCTATTTATAAAATGACAAAGACAACATTATAATAATTGACCTATATACCTACCTGACCTAATAATTGAATTACATATAATATGTTGTCAACATATTATATGTTATTACGTTGGCATCGCAAGGAATGCTCATCTTAACAAAGTCGTGAAAGGTCAGGTCAGTAGGCCGATCGTGATAAATTCATCAGGAACTTTTCACGATGGTTACCAAGGGAACCAAACGGAGGTTAACCTGACATAGGTATATTGGTAGCAATGCGCCCATCCCATTTCCCTCATTTATGTAGTAAGGACAAAGACATAAGTGAAACTTGTGAAAAAAAATAATTTTACTCTCAGGATTACCACATTACTCGTCGGTACAATGGATTAGGGATTACTTGTAATTTCAGGTGTTGAAATGCTTACTGAGCGGTTTGTTCACTAACTGCGCGTGGTCGCGGGGCGGTGCGGGGTCGCGGTACGTGACGGGCGCGGGCGGCGCGGCCGGCCTGCACCCGTCCAGCGTCCTGCACACGGTGCGGCCGTCGCCTCCCGCACTGCTCTACTCCGAGTTGCTACACACGCGTCGCACCTACCTCCTCACTGTCTCCGCTATACAGCCGCAGTGGTTGTATCAGGTCGCACCCGAGTATGCTCGCCGCTGTCGTGCCAATCGGTGACCTTAATTTAATCGAATATGTATAACAGTATACTATAAAATAGTATCGCATCTTATGTCGAACATCCTCATTGTCTGAATATTATGTGATATAGTTCTCTAAGCACATGTTTTACTTGTCTACCTCTGAATGGACAAATTTTTAATGGCATAATGTTGACGAATAGGTTCCGCCTAAAATTATTGCATATTTTTAATAGTTAAGATTTAGTAGACTAAATAATTATGCTGACTACTTTTTCAAACATACAAATAATTAAACAATGTAGTAAACTTTATCTTGTTCCTATTTGTAGGAATTCAATTGTTCCTTTTTGTTTTTGTTCTAAACACTTGTGGCATATAAATATACTCAAAACGTTTTTGTTGTTGTTATTATCAGAGCGTTACTATCTATGTATTGCAAAATATTTTGCTTAATAACAAATATTAGTAATGGTATAGTCATATTTTATATAGATTTTGGTGTTACAAAATATTTAAATAATAATATTTTGTATGTGTTAAACTCAAAATGATTTTTTGTATAAACAGCTGGCTGTTTTTATTTTTAAATAAAAGCAACCTGATAAATCCCTATATTTAGTGTTTACAGCTGATTGTAATATATTGCATAAAAGAGCACGTAAGATTTTTTTTATAAAAACAGAAAGCATTACTCAAAAACGTTATCGGATGAAATTTTAATTTCGTTCAAAATATGGTATAATTTATAGATAGGTAACTAGACAAATCGATTTTCAACAGAAAGTATTAATTATTATGAACGGTAAAAAAAGAATAGAAATAAAAGCTGTACATGTTCCATATTACAGAATATTATGCTTCGAAACTCCACATATATAAATATAATATGTTAAAATTTTCATCTTTAAGAAAATCGGTAAATACTTTTCTCATTATCACTCTGGTGATGGAGCTCATTTATCCACGATCGCCTTATCGAGAGCCGGTAGGTACGTAGATTGCTTAATGCCCTTAATGGTTTATTACTTGTAGGGGAGGCACGCCCACAGTTGTTACCGACTTTATTGTTTTCCTTAAAGTGATTTCTTAGCAATTTTGTTAAAAAGTTAAAAGCATCTTAAATGTTATATATAGTACTATCTCTAATGGAGGAATGCTAACGTTGTAATTGTACTCTGTTCGTTTACATTCATCAGTGGCCCATTTATTATTCACGAGCTTTCAAGATGGTTATAAGCTTCACAAGCAAATGGAGGCGTGTTAAAAGTTTGCAGACTATGTTTGTTTGTATATTTGTCGAATTATACTATATATGTTTATTAAGAACCAGATACGTTATTTGTCGTCTGATACTTTGATTAATTAAGGTAAGTTTAAATAAGTAATTTAACCCTTTGGTTAGATAATTATCATTTAATCTATTTGTAATTGTTTTTTTAATATTACACCAGTAGTCTAACTTTGATCATAATGTCAAAATACAATATTTTGTTAACCTAATATAATAATATTATTAGATTAAGAAGTGAAATGTGTAAATTCTTTAAGTGTATCAATGTTGATAAATATATTTGTATATTTATGCTATTATTAGTTGTTACCTGCGATTTCATCCTCGTGGATTGTAACTTATTTTTAATAAATACGTATTTTAGAATTATTGTAATTCTAAAATATGTCTAAGCGACTCCTTATAACATTAGAAATATATCACTGCGAATGAAGTCCGGTCATTACCAGTCCAGCCGTTTCAAGGATTAGGAAGAACAAACAGACAGACCTATAACATTTTTAATAAAAAAAATTTTGTGGTAGTTTGTAAGTACTTTATATACTTTTATTTGTTTCATCTGTTTTTATTTCATGAATTAACATTCTTAATTATTGATCACATTGAAAGTGCTTTGTTAGCACTTATGGGTTGTCTTTATGATTAAAATAAAATATGAGGTTCATGGAATCCCAATTAGAGTCGCATTCAGGGCTAAGCTAATGTTTGCAATAGCAATATTTCCTTTAATATGTTTAGTATCATCTTTTCAATATCGGTCTGCTTTGCTTCAGGCCGCATTCTTGTTTGGATAAGTTTTAAATTTCCTTTAGGTAAACAGAATGTCTTTATACACGTTCGATAGTTTTACGATATTTCTACCTTCACAAGAGCCGTCTATTAAAAGTAATCCAAACAAGGAATTAAAGTCAGTTTTGTAACTTGTCTGAAGAGACTACCACGAAAGCTATCCATTAGTCAAATCGGAGAAGTTTTTGAGTTCTAGCGAAAATAACGTACAGAATTTATATTTATATATTGCTTTTAACCTTTAGCTGTTTAATACATAAACACCGCATTGCCGTGTTATGATGCCATATTTGATGCTTGTGACATCAAAAGTCGGTTAAAAAGATGATTATAAAGATTTTACGCCGAAATGTGATTAGGAGTTTATGACCAGCATCGAATCCTATTTGGATTACCAAGATATTAAACGGTAGACATTCTCGAAAGAGCTCGATTCAAAATAATATTACGGAATTGTTAATATACAAAACTAAAATAAAGGAATGATTGAATGAACTGTAGTAAATAAAAATTACATTAATACCTATATTTTTTTACAATACACTTAAATTTGATTTTAACAATATTATTTCATATTTTTACACATGTAGGTACTTATTAGGTATGATATACTCTTTATGTATAAATTTTTAATTTAATTACAAGTAAACATTGTAGAATTGTTGTTAAAATCCAATTTAAATAAAAAAAAAAAACGCTATTTTAATAATAATTAGCATTCAGTAATTGTACCATGGTGCTAACATTATTGTATAAATAGTTATAGGTATCTAATATAATTAAAGTTAATAATATACATGAAATAAGGTAATATAGTTGTGTTAATCTAACTTAAAGGTATTAAGTATTTTTACAGTTTATTGTTGATGAAATATATCTTGTGTACATTGCCAGTTAAAATTTGTGTTTTATTTAATTTAAATAACAATAAAATATTGTGTAGATGCGATTACAGTATGATTTGTTAAAATTATTTATAAGATGATATTTAACTTTTTGGAAATATATTTATTCACTGAATACCTCAGTATCCAGTGAATTAGTCAGTGAAAATTCATTCCATAAGATTTCTTACATTTTTATTATTTTCTGTTAGTTAATAAACAATAAAAATTGACAATAATAAAAACACGAATACAATGAACTCGTAATTAAAAAAATGTTACAACGTTGTTTACAATGCCAACAAGCAACTGATGCGAGATTGCAATGCATTGGTAGCTCTGATTACATTATGTTGCTACAAATGTAAAAATGTCTAAAATGAAATTACTATTTAATCCTAATCTACTGTATTTTTAGTAGTCAGACAGAAATTTCAATCACATTTAAGGAAACTGGCAGTAGTAATGGTAAAAATCTATGGTTTGATATTCTATCTATTAATGCAATCCATTTTAAGGATGACGAATGACATTTGAGGTTTAACCTGTATGGGTGGATAAGTAAGTAGGTAGGTACATACTTTTTTCATTATAGGATCACTATGCTCGAGGTTCTTGGTCAAAATTTCTACGTTACGTCTCATTCTCCAGTTTTCGTAAATTATGCAATGCGGCTGGCGTATAATGAAATTTAATTATAATTAAGTCTAATGATCATTCATAGTCTTTAAAAATGGGCTCCAAAGTGAGAGGCGATGACACTTCTCTCATTAAAGTGATTACTGCTGGAAGCTCGGAACAATGTTAATTCGATAATTATGCAAATTTTGCGAAATAATTCATTAGAATTTATGACATTCACATAGACCTTGAAATGATGTCGTTTACGTTTGGATCTTACGACATTCCCATGTTCAGATGTTTTTAAAAAGTGCGATTTTGAATACCTTGAGATAGATAAAAAACAAATCTACGTATATGTAATACATGAGTAGGTATAGATTTTTAGTTATTATGAATTACGCTCTTCATTTATTTATATTTTGTCGCCATCGATTTATGAAATATTCCGGTAATAGAATCATACCGAAATTTTTCACGTCTTTGAAACTTCTAAAGACTGAAAATAAATTTTAGGTTAATCTGTATGAGGATTGTACTTGAACTGCAGAAATATTAATATCATTCTAACTTAAAATGTCTTAGTTTTATAATATGTAGGTAGCTCTCATTAAGTAAATAAACTATACGACGGTAAAATATAAATCTATGAACGTGAAAGTTTTTTTTATTCTTATTAAGTAATAAGATTAAAATAAACTTTTTTACAGTGACATTGTTACTTTATTAATCTGATGTTTGACTATTTCATTATTTAAATAGTTTTTAGGATCAGTTTTTCTTTTAACAATAGACATGTGACATATACAAAAAACTATGATACTTTCTCGTATGTGCCATACTCACTTTATCCTAATTGGGTTAATAAAACAATTGTAGGTAAGTACCTATCGTGAAGCTGTAAAGGCCAGCTACGTAAATCAACATTAAAATAGTTAGATTTTTTTATAGTGCATCTTAGCCTTGATTATGATTGCAGTTTGACTACGCATAGTGTTTTTACTTGATGTAACGTATGTGCCTTATTTTTTTCTCATCAGACAAAGATAGTGAAGATAATAGAAGATATTAAGTATGTACCTAATTATATCCTATTGTTGGTACATTATATTCTCCTTGCTTTTGACAATCGGAGATACACACTACACATCGTAGGATGACATTTATTAAATGGTTCATAAATAGAAGTAAAACTTTATTTTTCCGATCTATTTAAAATAACCAATCGTTTTAACAGTGAGAACATGAAGAACCAAAGAAACTTGCAAAAGATACGTTTTCGTTCGTATCCTTCCTATATATGCACGTAACTGCGTAGACAGGTAAATTGTAATAAGTGGGCACTCCGTAAAGTTGGGGCGGATGTAGGTATCTACCTATTCGAAGCTGGCCGGCTTCGCTCGCTGCGGTTAATGGGACTTTGAAATGGATGACGCCGTCAATAACGTTCGCTCTCATCTGCTTTTTGTGTTTTTATCGCTAATTGCCCAACTTTCTTGATAATAAACTGCATGCTTTTGATACGTCATCAATTTACAGAATTCATAATGAGGCCGAGTTGTATTTATGTTCTATTTGAATATTTAGGAAATAGTTTATTTTATACATTCACGGCTTGTGTTCGGAGGTGTTAGTCTCTATATTATTAAGTTCTCTGAAGACGGGACATGTGTATGGACCACGTAGGTATTTGTATTGATATTGATACTCGTGCGTATAAGAAGAAAATATATATAAAAGGTTTCTAAGAGTAAATTGAGTACGAACGTATGGATATTTCCTGAGAGGCGATCTTTCGAAAGGGTCCGAAGTCCCGGGGGAAAGGCTGCCATTCGGCGAGGACCTCATTATGTGTATCGCATCAACATTATCCACGTTGCCTAACAATAAATAGTAGCAATAAACTGAAAGGATCGGCCTGTTTTTAATCACGATCAACAATGAGGAAATTGGTTTTGGTGTTAGGTATTTGTTATAACATAGGCTAAATAATAAGTACCTTTCTATATAATATCTAGTAATTGTCCCGTAATAATATAAATTGATTCTATATGAAGAATACAAAATTAAGTATATCGGATTTAGATTTCCATTTCACCATACATTACAGTTTAAATAGGCAGTTTATTAAAATATTTGGTGCGGAGGACTAACTACTCCGAAGCTTTTACATTGGACGCTTAGCTGAGATATATAAACTGCATCGAGTGACCTAATCAAGAGTTATAGAGTGAACTAAAGAAACTATCGCTGTGTTAGAATCTATGTAATATACATAAATATCTTTTTTAAACTAATACAAATTTAAAAATATATAACAGCAAAAATAAATGGCTACAGTTGATACAAATAATTCTTCGAATATTATACACTGTGTGTACCTACCCTTATTTATAACGTGCTTATAAGATAGGTACCTACTTCAAATCTTTCGTCGCGTGATGCGTCTCGTTCGGCTCAACGGACCTGCTCCGAATAGTATAGAAATTCGTTTACAAGCTAAAAGCTTTCCATTTCCCAGGTAAAATGCTGGCGTAGATGTGTAGTTAAATAGGTATGTCATATTAGTACTCATAGTACCTATACTCCAATTTAATTGTGAATACGTAACAAATTTTATTGCATTGCAATTGATGGATTCCACACATAAATACATATCTAAATAAATTACTTATCTGTTCTGTGGTCATATTCATATATTTGCTCAGCTTCAGCTATCACCTACTATGAGACTGATTACCGGATTTCAGACGTCAGGAGTTGGAGGTTTGACAGTTTGAGGCATTTGTCAAAGTTCATCAAAATAACACTTCAAATTGTCATGTATTAATGGCTGTATGAGCTGAGTCCTTTTGCCTTTCCCTAAAAAAAAGTCATACATTAATTAAGTTCATTATCCAATAACTCACACGTAGTGTAATCTCATCACAATTTCTTGTCGGAAGTGCGCTCGACGCGTAAAATAATGCAGACTAATCAAATCTCCAGAGTATTTGTATACGAGATCTTTGGGCAATGATGCGAGAAATGGGTCGCAGCTAGATGAAATGCTCGCAAAAAGCTTATTTGCTCCGAAATGACAACGATGGAAACTGTATGAATAAACTGTTAACATTAAGCACGAATAATTTTATATTCCATGGGGCTTTTAAAGAATTTAACATCTATGACATGATTACGACAATAAACTAAATTAATATGTGTAAACGAATGTATCGTTTGAATATAACGAACAATTTAAAGTGCTTATGGGCGATTTTAATACGTTTACTGAAAAACGACCACCGGGCCAACCGCCTTGTGTCTTGCTAATTCATGTAACCTTATTCTTCCTTCACAGATAAACTGCAATCCTTCTCTTTTAGATCTTATGTTTGTCTCCTCCCTTAATTGTAACTAGGCATGGTCATGTCCTGCAGATGCGAACAATCTCATTTATCTTTCCTACAAAATCCGACTTAACCTAAACACAAAGTTATAATGCGGCGTAGTTTTGGTATAAATTAGTTGCGTAACGATTTGTCGCGGATAATAATTAAAGTAATTAGTAATTTATTATTAATTATTAGTAATTTATTAATATTTATTTTGTTTATAAACTCTTTATAAGCATTTTACACAAGAATTATACAGAAAAGAGATATAGATGTACAAAAGGCTAAATGTGATATTGACTTATTAACGCAAGACAAGCACATCTTTCTTTTTAAACATATATCTTTAGGTAGAAGAAAAATACAATAAAATGATAATGTAGATGTGATTGTTCATGAATATCATAGAAGAATATATATCTTATATATAAACTTCCTCGAAAGATCATATAATTCAGTTTTTCGTCCCCATACTTCTCTAAAGTCCTAGAAAGGCTTGTCCATGAACAAATTTACAATTTCCTCACAAATAATCTTCTAATTTTGTGAGCGTATAGCACGACTACTGCTCTAATCAAGATCACCGATGACATTCGACTTGGTATGGATAAATCGCAGCTGACACTACTAACGCTATTGGATTTTAGTAATGCATTCAATACCGTAGATTTCGACATCTACTCAGTTTGCTACGTTCTCTTAACATATCTCCAACGGTGATTGAAAATTGGTTTCGAACTTACCTGTATGGGCGTCGGCAGCGTATTCGTATCGATGATATCCATCCTGGTGCACAACGACTGCGGGCGTTTTCATTTTTTTCTATTTCTTCGTTCATCCTACCACCTATATGCAGATGACCTACAAATTTACTCGCATGCTGCTTTTGCTTATAAATCTTGACCTCGCATATATCTATATATATGGCCTAAATCCAAAAAAAACACAGTGCATGATTATCGGGAAGTCCATATTATTTATCTAAATATATATATATATAGAATACTGT